CAGAATATATGTATAAATGCTGTGGATGATTTGGCTCCTGAGAACTAAGGATTCATTTTCAGGTACCATTAACTCCAGAATGTTGGGAGGGATTCAGCATTCTTGTGAGCATGAACAATCAGCCCTGTGATATTTCTTGTACATACCCCTCAGAGGCGGAGGAGTCTCTGAGTTGGCGTCATGTAAAGGCTGCCAATTAGGGGGAATTATTCAGAAAAGAGGTTGAGGTAGATTCTTGTGCTTCTGAATTCAGAACTGAAAGGACACCATAAACCCCTTGCAGTTTTCCTGTGACTTTTCCAAAGCAGCATGCTGACATATTTGAAAAGATAACGAAAGATGAATGTCAACCTAAATTAAGTCATTTGACTATAATTGAAATATGAAATCATTCAGCGTTTATGGATGCTTCTAATCACCGCTGGAGAGTGAGAAAGAGAAATGCACTGATGTCAGTTTATCCAGAAAGAGGAGTACAGATGACCCCATTCAAAGTAAATAAGTGAATTCAGGTGAAAATCTGGTGTACAACCTTCACATGCATCACATAGTTTTCTTTTTTAAAAAATATTCATTTATTTATTTGAAAGGCACAGTGTTAGAGAGTGAGGGAGAGAGAAAGATAGATCTTCCATTCTCTGGTTTACTCAAATGGTCGCAATGGCAGGGGTTAGTCTGAGCAGAAACATCAGGAGTCCAAAGCTCCACCCAGGGCTCCCACGTGGGTAACAGGGGCCCAAGTAATTGGGCCATCCTTTGCTGCCTTCCCAGGCACATTAGCAGGGAGCTGGAAGTGAAGTAGAGGAACCGACATTCAAACCAGTGTTCTACTCCGATATGGGGTGCTGGCTTTGCAGGTAGCAGGTCAGCTCACTGCGCCACAATGACAGCACCATGCACCATATTTTTATTCTTGTGTTTAAAATCTCTCAAAATATCTAACCTCTTACAATATTTTTCTACCACTTAGACTATGTGCCCTGTTTATTGAATAATATAATTATGAATAGGTCAACTTCAAAATAACTGTAGAAATTTATTGAATTGAAATTATTCCATGGAAAATCTTTTGGGCAACTCCTCACATTAACTGAGCTCAAATTTAGTCCTCTAGTTTTATAGATGGCTTGGTGTTTAAATTCAGATCTATTAAAATAAAGTGACTTAGCACTCTTGGCCAAAATTGATAAAAGAATCTGCTTCTCTGCAGAATGGGCTGCCTGATAATCAAATGTGAGCATAAGTGTGTGCTCATGAGTAGGAAGTCACATTAGTGCTCACTGTGAAGGTCCAACTTCTTTGAACTTTCATTCAAATGTTCAAATACCAATTTGTTCTCTGATGTATGCTTGGGAACAAAGGCAGCTCTAAAAAAAAGGAATTAAAAAAACACCAAAACAAGATGGTCTATGATCAAAAGAAACTCAGGTAAAATTAAGGTCTATAGACACAAAGTTGTATTGTTGCCCTTGCATGAACAACCAACATAATCTAATGCCATGCGCATATTGGGAAGAAAGTCTACTCTGACCCCTACATAAAACAAATCATGGCTATACACAGATCAGTTTACTTATGAAGTTGCTTTTTATGAAAAACTTGGGCAAGAACTGAATTCAAGTAAGAACAGCCTCAAAAGGCCCACTGAAAATCATTTTGACACCCTAATGTACAGAGAATTCTTTGCTTTATGGATTGCCGACTGAACTTCAAAGTAGTTTGCATTTTATGGTCAGTTTTCATAGTCTTGGCCCTGGTTAAATTACAACTTAACGAAACACTGTCTAATACAATTTAAGAAATACTGTCTTCTTCCAGTAACATGCAAACTCTCTAGGAATTTGATGCTTTCCGGAATAATCTGTGCTTGTTACATAAGCACAAAGATACTTTTTCAGAGCAGAACAAAAGAGATTAGATTCACTTTAGTTTAAACTGTCTAAAGAGAATGTTCAGTCCTGGATTTGTTAATAGCTTTGGTATAAATCATGGAAATAGAATCATGCATTTTTATTAGTCACCCAAGAAGCCTTTGAGTTTCAGGTTCTTCTTGAGAGCGCAATTACTGTGGCTCTTCTTTCAACAACTTGGAAAATGTCTTGGCTGATTAGGAAGTTAGTCATTTCACATCTTGACATCTACAACAATGCAAAGTTTTAAAACCTCACAAATTACACTTATAAGTAACAGGATACATCTCTAAGATGAGAAGCTCAAGGATTTGTGGCGCCTCTTTGTTCTCCTTAATCCTATTTTCTTGAGTGTTGGATGTTTTGTAAATATCTGCATTTGAATCCAAACAATAAATATTGTCATTAATTCTCTAATGTGGCATAAAAACATTGTTATTTTATATGAGCAGGTTCTGCCCTCTCAGACTTAACCTTCCTTCAATGATGACGTTTTCTTTCTCAATCAGCCCAAATACTATCGTTGTCATTCAGTTTAAAAACCTATAGCAGCGATAAACATAAAGTATTGCCTTGTTCCAAAAGGAGTGATAGAGTGGAATTTGACCAATGCCCCTCCAGTCCTCATGTTTTGGAAGTTGTTTAGCCCTTCCTGTTTTAGAAGTTGCCTGGGCCATGGTCACAGACATCCCCTGAGGCTGTGCTTTTCCATTTGTTTTGTCCATTTAAGGATAACATATTAGGAGTTTTGCTAGTGAGAGGTTAAAATAAATAACATTCAAGAGCACTTTCTCAAAGCTCCTGTACCGACCACTGCCCTTCCCCTGGCTTCCTCGGTATCCCTGTGACATGACGTGAAGACTGCAGGGTCAGCTTCTCAGAAATAGGCAGCATCTCCTGTGTGATCCTGGAAAGAAACAAAAACAGAAATATGCCTCTCTATTCGTATACAGTGAAAAGTATCCGAAAACGTTCGGCATAATAAAGGTCCCTTAATCACTGTAGAAGTCAATTGGCCTGTGATATTTCACTATAAAATTCACAATAAGCCGGCGCCGTGGCTCAATAGGCTAATCCTCCACCTTGCGGCGCCGGCACACCGGGTTCTAGTCCCGGTTGGGGCGCCGGATTCTGTCCCGGTTGCCCCTCTTCCAGGCCAGCTCCCTGCTATGGCCAGGGAGTGCAGTGGAGGATGGCCCAGGTGCTTGGGCCCTGCACCCCATGGGAGACCAGGAAAAGCACCTGGCTCCTGGCTCCTGCCAGGATCAGCGCGGTGCGCCGGCTGCAGCGGCGGCCATTGGAGGGTGAACCAACGGCAAAAGGAAGACCTTTCTCTCTGTCTCTCTCTCTCACTGTCCACTCTGCCTGTCAAAAAAAAAAAAAAAAAAAAATTCACAATAATGTTAGGGTTACTCGGGAGTAGAGTGGAGGCTCTAAGCATGCTTTCTGCCCAGCCTCTCCCATACTGCAGTATTGTTCCAGGATAGATGGACACAGTACACAATCAGGTGACCCAACAATTAAATGCCATATAGTGAGGATATCACCTGAATTGTTTTCAATTTATACCTCTAAAAAATACATTGGGGTAAAAATTAGTAGTGTGATTTTACCATTCTATATGTCTATATGTTCATTGGTTTAGTGAACCCCAAGGTATTAGTAATTCAACTAGGCAAAAAGGAAATGAGAGAGAGAGAGAGACACAGAAAGAGAGAGAGAGAGACACAGAAAGAGAGAGAGAGAGAGAGAGAGATCCTACTCCTCTTGGTCCATAATTATATCTCATATCATTTTCATTTCATATCATATTTACTTCATCCTTTTTCCCCTACCAGAACAGATAGATATTATTATATTTAGTTGGATTTCACATTTTTATTTTACTATGACAATTTCACAGTGGTAATGAGCAAAGGCATACTTTGTATGAGAGATGAACTTCAGTAGCCATAGTGAAACAACATAGTGGGTGAGGAATTGAGAGGAACACATAAACACAGGCGAGTGGTCAAAAGGCACGAGTGAGTGAGAGCTCTGGCAAAGACAAGAGAGCCAGAAAAATCAGCTGCTGTTCTTCTAAGAGACTGGAAAAAAAAAAGTATATTTATCAAAAGACTTTCTCAACAAGTGATCATGACAGGTGATTTAATTGCAACCCTATCTCTACTCATCCATAAGGAATAAATATTAAGAATTATTAGATGCTAGAGTGCTAATGTGTATAAAAATTGTGGATGCTTTATGTGGGGGAACTTTATGTGGATATTTAAATACAGGCAGGACAGCAGGGGTTAAACATCTCTTCAGAGCTCTTGGTCTGAAAAGGTTTGCTTCCTTGTAAGAATGCCCTTCCTCTTTGGTTTTAGGGTATGGATAAATATACAAGACTAAAAATGGACTTAGAGAAAATGCCATGGAAATAACTGACATCTCACGTGTAATCAAATACACAATGTTAAAAACTTTCCTCTGAGAGAAGCACCATTTTTAATGTATTACCCTCAGTTGCAAAGCACAATTCAACTTCATTAGGAAAAAGTACAGTGACTGATACTAAAACAGAAGCAGATTTTGTAGTAGTCATTTACTTCTCTGTCTGAAAAGCAAAAAGAGACAAATCTCATCTTTCTTGACTGTGTCTTCAAATTATGCATTAAATGTATTACATATTCCCTGGTAATGAATGGACATAAGGTGATGGCTTCAAAAATATACCAGGGGACCTTTTAAATTTCTGGAAGAGGACACTTAATAACCAATGGTATATTCCAGTTTAAAGGACAAAAACATTCATATAAGTGTTTTCAAAACATATAATTTTTAAAAATTAAAATTCTTCTCCACACTCTTCTACTAATGGTCACCATAAACAAAAATATAAATTCATGATCATAAGATCAATAATGATTGGTTGAACTTGAAAATAATTTTAAGGTCTGTGCACCTTATTCAATCCTTATTTAAATAAGACTAATGTTATTGTGATACTAACTTATTGCTACACCAAAAACAAAAATAAAAATTCACCTTCATGATATTTTGTTCCACATGCTCGTGAACAAATTATGCATCATTTTTTCCCTACAGGAAAACTGAAGACCTTAATAACAAACCCTCCAAGGTCAAAATGAATACAGGTATGCTGTCTCTGCTAGTTAAAAACTCTTTAGTCTTGCTCTATAAAAATCATCATTGCCCTCAATCATTAGTTTAGCTCTCTGCTGATCCTAAATTGATGTTGGGCTTCTGATTAGATATGTAGTCTAGAGTCATGAATTTATTTCTTTGTCTTTGTGCTCCAATCTCACAGTCATCAAAAGAAGAATTTTCTGTCATCTTACTCCCTTTTTCTCCAATCAGATTTGGAAATTAATTCCTATGAATGCTAAGAAGATATTTACATCATTTGTATACAGGCATTTGAACTGCTTCATTCCATATAGGCTAAAATTCTTAGGCAAGTTGCTCCAATGGAAAATATTTAAACTTTGCCATTCTATAAACTTTCTATGTAGACAAAGTTTGCAAGTGGAATGCCAAAGCTTTATATAAAATCAATTTAATTAATATGTAGGCATAATACACATCTAGTCATAAGCTTTATATTTTTAAGTGTGCTAATAGTATTTCCAAGTAGCCCAACAACATCATTGTTCTGAACTCTGTATGAATCCAGAATTAATCTTAATTGTAAATATTTATGATACATTCTATGTATATATGAATTTTTTATAATAGAAATACTTTGGTTTATAATTTTACCTCCTCAAACCCCTAAATTTTTATATACAGCATTAAATGGGAAAATACTTCCTCATTGAAATGCTGTCATTTGTGTTCAAATGATACCATTTCCTATCTACAAGGACCCCTGGGAAGCTGTTTTAGTCAATTGCCCCATAAGCAGAGGAGAAAAGATGACTCAAGATATCCTCTTATATCAAGCTCATTGTCTTTTTGCTCACACTTATTATAATCAACATACCTAGAGGGAGGATTACCAACCATTGATGAAACTAATATCTGACCCCTAGGCCAAGTATAGAGACATAGGCCAAGCGCATCCTCCGATGCTGCCCCCTGAGCAGAGACCTGCTCTCACTGACCTCACAGGTGCTACGTTGTCTAGATCTTGATGATGCAGCTGACTCATAGATGTGTAGAGCAGCAGGCAAGATGAGGGTTGTGAAGATAGTCAAAGGGTGTGAGGAAGACTTAGAAACCATGAGAAATGAGAATCCTGGAAATGAATCAATCCGAGGCATTTTGACAATTGGAGATGTGAGCATTAGACCTGGGAAGTGAAATAAGAAATATTATTAGGCAAAGGAGACTGAAGAAAACAAACAGAATGTGGAGCCCACAGCCAGAGTAGGGTAAGCCATGTTGTGGCACCACAGTTACTCCAGCAGAATGCCTACATCAGGAAGTTACATATACTGATTGTTCCGAGGGAGCATCTTGAAGCCTGAAGTTGAACATGACTTCCCAATATCCTTCATTTAGTTGAGTAACTTTTAACTATTTATTATTTCTATTATGAAAGAGGTGTGTGTGTATATATATATATTTGATTGTACTATATATACTATATTTATAGCATTCAAGATATTCTAGAAGGGATATTATTCATGTAATTCAATTCCTATTAGCAAAGTAGGCATACAGACATTGGTAAATTTGTTTGAGTCTCTGAGTGCTTGAGCCAAGTTACTGCGTAGTGGTATGAACATAATCCTTTAAGGCATCCTGTCATCGCTTCTTGGCCTTTTGGCTAAGATCAAGTGTAAGGCATCCTGTCAGTGAGCTTGACTCTGGAAAAAGTGCTGATTTCCATAGGATTATTACACTTATATATAAATACATGTAAAATATGATATTCACAATTATGCATGAAAGTGATGAGAAATGACTAAAACCCTTTGTTTATAATTCCAAAGGAATACTATGTTACTATAAAAACATACCACTTTAAAATGTATATGTATATATAAATATTGCTTGAGTAAGCTAGAGACTTTGCCACTGTACTTAGAAAATAGAAATTGGTTCCTAAATAGAAAAGAAGCAAAATTGGCCTTCATTATCCACCTATCAAAAATTAAAGAGATATATTACTGCTTAAATATGCATGTATCAGTCACCAAGATTTAAATATCTCTTTTAAATTAGGGTTTTGCTTTGAGTCGAATGCATAATAAATCTGGCGAAGGAGAATGTGGTTCATTGCTCATAGTGGAAAGCTAAACCATGTAGAAAAATAAACAAAATAAGTTGTATCTCTCTCCAAGAATTTGTGACCCCTGTTTTCTAAGACAGATCTCCGCTATTGAAGAAAGCAGAAAGACTTCAAATAATTCACTGTCTGTGATCTACCCATGATTGTTTTCCAGCAGTAGAAATAGTTTCCCAGAGTCTCATGGCACAATGGAAGAGCATTGGTGTCCTAACAACTTAGAAACCACTTGACAAAATAATACACTTAAATTAAAAGAAAAACAATGATTTAATTTCATCTTTTATAGCCACAATTACTAAATAGTGGTATGAGCACTCCTGTTGCTCGCTGAAATCATCTCAGACCTTGGAATTAGATTGTATATGGACACTCTCATTTACTGGCCCAAAACGATTTTTAAGTATACTCGCTTTTTTTTTTAATCATAGCAACATTACAAAAGCTGTTTTCCAAAAACATGAAGTCATCAAAAGGAATACAGCACCAAGTCTTATGTTGAAATTGAACTACCTCAAGCTAATAGTTCCTGCAGTGTCCAACAACATCACTCTGCTCTCCTCAAAAATGTGAAATATCCCCCTACAGGTCCGTAAATTCACCGAGGTATCTGGAGGCGTGTTGGCCCTCAGTTGGAGCATCATCGATTTGACCAGTGACCCTGGATCTTTTCTTTCTGGAATTTCTACTTTTACTCCCTCTTTTTGTTTCCAGATATTCAAAATTAAAAGAACTAGGAAATAAAATCCACCTTAGAGCACTGTTAGTGTTCACTTTCAACACTCTTGCCTATATACCCTTTTGAGGTCAGTCAATAGCTACTCAATACCATGTACCCACTATCCTTACCTCCACTTCAGCAGACATATTTGTGTCTCATACCTGTTTTTAGTTTGTCTAATTTGCTGAAATACTATTGGATTTTGTGAGTTTCTACCATTGTGCCTTTCTCTTTAGTTCTTACCTACAGTGTGTAATTCATTTGGCTTACCTTCTTTTTTTGTTGCTCAAGTAAATTTTCTGGTTTAATTACTTTCGATGTGAGGAAATTGTTAATTTAGAAATTATCATATGTTGATATGAGAAGCACTCACCAATTTTGATATGCATTGATCTTACTATTTTTAACACCTTTAGGAATAATTTACTCATATTTTATTTTAAGCATCTTTTCTAATCTAAATTCTCTCATATGTAATATACCAGATTTTTTCCTTATGAATTAAAGAAAAGGTAGAATTAATATGTGACAATATATGATCATGATGTTCTCATATTGATGATTTTACTCATATTATTTGTCTTTATTATCATAACTTCCAAAAGACTTATTTGAATTTATTTTGACTTAATGAGCACAATGACAGGAATGAAGAAAACTATTTATTGCATATGTTATATTAAAAAGGAATGTGAAAATAGAACGGGAATCTACTTATAACTAGAACATTCACCTTCCAATTTTAGAAAGACCTGCCTTCCAAATTTAGAAGTCTAAATTTCTGACATTAAAGTGACACGCATTTGCACTTAATTCACTTCCCATTGTGGTTTGAATAATTGGAAATATATATCTCATGCTACACATATTGTTCAAACATATGAAAGCAATAAATTACTCTTTCAACATCATTTAAATGCTATATATATCGATATTCCTTGATTTTTATCAGTCTATTTCCATAACTCTGGTTTCTCTTCAGATCATATAAGTCTTTTGCCTTTTATTAATAATAACTGCAGACACAGAATTCCATAATGCCATGTGTGTTTTATAAATCATGTCAATGTATCATGCCTATGTTAGTTAAAAACTTTTACTGTAAGAATACTCAAGCTATCTTCAGAAATCTCAATATCTACAATGCTGTAAAATCTAAATGAAAGATAAAAAATTATCACACTAAATTTTAATTTGAAATAAAGCTACACTGCTTGTAGATTAGTATGACTTGAATTTAAATAGTGTAAACAGAGTTAAGTTCTGTGCCTGGGTTCTCATTCAAGGAAAACCATAAAATGTTACTTACAAAATCTTTTGTTGTTTCACTAAGGCACTGGCATCTATTTCTGAGACAGACTGTTTTTTTTCTTTTGTTTTGCTGGTTTCAGTTTGGGGGTAGGTATGAAATTTGCCGCTGTGTCCCATGGTTACTAATTCCGACTGTTCATCTTTCTCATGGATGTCTGGCACATCTCACTTAAAACGCATGATGTTGCATGTGCTTTCCTTGTTGCCTTGGCCTCTGCTATTTCATTTTTTTGCTTCCAGATAGCGGTGGGTGTGCTCGCAAACGTGCCGCCATGTCTGTTACGTTAACATCTGTGAAGAGAGTTCAAAGTTCTCCAAACCTATTGGCTGCAGGTATAATATCACTAACTCACAGAATGTCACACTTGAATGGCTTTACCTGACATTTCTCTCTTTCCAGAATGAGCTGGTTTGGATAAATCAAATAGCTGGAAATACCTTTCAGATACCCCCAAGAGTTCTTATTTTTCTTGTCCCAAGAATAGCTCTGATCCCTCCTGACTGTTCCTGTACTAAAAATAAGAAGTCAAGAAAATTGATATCTTGTAGAAAACATTTTAAAAATCTAATTTAAAACAACAGTCACTTGCCAAAAATATGTTGAGTAACTGCTAATAACTATTTAAGTTTCTGTTACCTCATGAACCAAAGTAACATAATATTTCATTAAGATAATTCACATGCTCTTTTTGTCAGTTTCTGCCTAAACACTATTGTGGAATAGGAACACAAAGGATCAACAAGAGGGATTTGTTGGAAATTGAATCTTAATTCCCTTCTTCACCAAAGATTGCAAACAGAATTTTAGAATATTAGTTTTGAATAAGACTTTACCCTTCCTTTAATCCAATCAGCAAAAATCCTTCTAATCTATGCTTTAAAATATACCAAAATGTTGACTAATTAAGAGTGACATGCACAGATACAAATATACTCTAGAAAGTATTTGAGAGTGTGACATTTCAGTATTCACCAACATGGGTCTCTTTATTTGCATTTTTAAACTTAGTAGGTAATTTATATAACCTTTCTTTTTAAAGTAATTTATTAACTACTTAATTCTTTAGTTTCTTGGAGTCACAGCAAATGTATGATAATTACTACAATACAGTTCTCATAAATTCTCATGTTAATGTGATATTAATACAAATAAAACAGAACCAATGTAGTTCAAACATACACTTCTAAGAATATAGTGATGGGTTTCTTCATAATGTCTGTAATGATTTACCTAAGCGTGCCAGCAGCATCTGCATCAAGAGGAGAGACAGCAATGGCAGAAAATCCAAGCAAGCTAGTGAGGCCCCCTGTCTTTAGCTCTAAAATAGACCCAGAGCTTCTGCTGACTGCTTGGTTGCTTGGTTTGATTCTTGATGGTTAGTTGCAGATAGAGGTTCCTTATTTCCTATGTAGAAGATAATAGGTTTGGGAGCAGAAGTAAAAAGGGGATAGAGAGTCTTTAAGTAATTTTAATTCTCACTGTGCTTATCACAGTCTCTTACATGCATACATTTAGCAGTTGATTAAATATTCAATTTCACTTTAAAGCCCCTTTGTCCTAAACTACCGAGATCCATTAAGCAAAAACCAACTTCCAAGTGAATAATGCCACTTCCATCTACCACCCCCAACACACAAACGAATGTCAATGTCCAAGTATAAATTTTAAGTCAGGATGTTCCATAATATATTGAGTTAAAAGAAAATACAGGTTGCATTGAAATGAATGTAGTGTCATCTCATTGTGGTTTAAAAATGTATTTATACATATTTGCTCATGAGTATATGAACATGAAAACATGTTAGAAGGTCTACAGACATGTTTACATTGGATACCTTATGGAAAAAAGAAATCAAAGGAAGAAAGAAAATAAATAAAAGATGGGGCTCCTCATGTAATTGAAACATCTCTGCCATGAATATTGTTGATAAGGTAAAATGCCAGTCCAGGTTTCTCAGGTGTGGACCACTGATGCACATGCTAGGAAGTGGTACAGGCTACAAAATGCCAGCTTGTTGTTGTTTATAAAACTACCTATAAAGGAGCAGTGTTAGATTGAATTAGACATTGCCATTTTGGAGGGCCAATGACAGTATTAGCAATGTCATAGCATTTTATTTGATAGAAAAGTGTAATGCCTCAGAAGTATGGCATATTCTTCAGTAGCAAGAGTATGTAATAGCTCTGGGCTATCTGACATCTTACATCACTGGAGTAAGATTTCTAGAGAATGAAATCTCCTGAATTTTGGATTTACTTGTGACTTTAGAAACAAACCTCTTGTGTCAATTAGACCCAGAAGAGATAATTTTCAAAGAAGGTTTAATTACATTTTAAGGAAAGAAATCATCATCTTTTATGCCTTTTCTGTACTAGCTTTCATAAAGACTTACTTGAATCATATAAGAACTTACTTGAATCAAAACTTACATGAATCAAAAAGGAATTAACAAATATTTATTGAATTTGATATTACTGAAATGCAACAGCTTTTACATAAAGATGAGACAACTTCCATAAAAGATTCTAAGTCTCTTTTGCTCCCCTCCTAGCCCAGAAAGTCAATAGAAGCCAGCAATTATTGGTCCCCCAATCAGCAATCTTTCTTTCCCTTTTACTAGAAGTCCCTTTGGACAATTCATCACAGCATATGCTGATATCTGAAACCTGAGCTAGAACCAACACCATGACTATAAAGAAACAATCGAAGTTCACTTTATTCCACAGAAATACTTGGCAGTGCCAGTGAACGTGGCTCAGGGTGATTGGCTGCAACATAGGAATCACTGCATTAGAGATAGGAGCTTGCCAAAACCTGCCTGTTTTATGCCCTTAAGAAAATAAGTCTGCCATACCTCAAGTTTTCTTCTTAAAAAAAAGAAACAGAATTTGGTTGTAACGTTCCTACCTCACTGAGAACTTAATCAGTTTCCAAGCTCACAAGGATTGTCAGAATTAAATGAAGGTTAATGAAGGAAATTCCTGGAAAGGCCTACTGCAGTACTTAGAAACACACTAGGCGCTCAATTAGTTTACTTGCATTTAATTAATGGACTTAAATAAATTCTTGCAAGGCACTTGAACTTGAAACAAGTTATAAGAATTAAAATTATTTTCAAGAAAAATATAGATGATGGTGTCAATATAGTATAACAGTTAAAAGAAATTTATATAAACCCTGAGAGCGGAGATTATGATATGGAAGCTAGGGATCAGAAATAGCCACATAACAACTGTGATGTTAGAATCATAAAGTTGGAAAGAAGTTTTGAGGCACCCAGTCCAATCCCTGACACCAAGCCAAGAGTATCCTGAACATTTTTGACAGATACTCACCAACTTGTGCCTAGACACAGGGAGAGCTCATTGTACTTGTCAAGAGCGTTTAGAGTTCTTAGTACTCAAAGATCCTATTTATGTTCACATCCAAAACAGCCAGGGGAATGGTAAACCATCCTATGTGTTCATTCTCACGTTTTCAGGGGAACAATGACTGTGGATCAAACAGCACTGGAAACTAAGGACTCGGATGCCTAGAGTCCTACTCTTGTCTTTTCACAATCAAATGATTGTCAATAATGTTCAAGATTTGGGGCAAAACCATTTTCCCCATCCATCTGCTGAATTTTTGTTTTTGTAATGATCTTCTCTTTACTTGATGTGGAACTGGGGTACTTTCTGTTATCTGCTTCAAACCACACACATCTTCCCTTTCACAAGTTTTCCTAGCAGAAATCAAATAAAAGCAGGACTATGAGGAAGGGTATCCCTGTGGGAAGCTATCTGTCTCTCAGTGCCTGCCTCTAAAGGCTGTAATAAAAAAGCAAATCAAGACCAAGTTTTTAAAATCCCTACAAATGGATTTATTTTAGAGTCTGAATTGTTGTACTCGTCAGAATCTTTAAAGAGCCACCTACTCAAAAGTAGACTTTAATCATCAATGTAAGCTTCATTACATTTCCAATTCCAATAAAAATGATGATGATTATATTACTGAGTTGTTTTACCAAAGGTAATACTAGTCCATCCAGAAGTTTTGATTCATGACCACTTTTCTCTTTTCTCTGAATTCTACAAACGATGAGCAAGTTCCTCTGGAAATCCCTCAGCCCAGCATCCCAGGGAGGGGTCCATTCTTGAGCCAAGTGATTCACCTTTTGGAGATTTTTTTTTTTTTTTTTTTTTTGACAGGCAGAGTGGACAATGAGAGAGAGAGAGACAGAGAGAAAGGGCTTCCTTTGCCGCTGGTTCACCCTCCAATGGGCGCCGCGGCCGGCGCACCGTGCTGATCCGATGGCAGGAGCCAGGTACTTCTCCTGGTCTCCTATGGGGTGCAGGGCCCAAGCACTTGGGCCATCCTCCACTGCACTCCCTGGCCACAGCAGAGAGCTGGCCTGGAAGAGGGGCAACCGGGACAGAATCTGGCACCCCGACCGGGACTAGAACCCGGTGTGCCGGCGCCGCAAAGCAGAGGATTAGCCTAGTGAGCCACAGCGCCTGCCCCTTTTGGAGATTCTATAATCCCCAGTGTGGTCACCCGTATGAACAAAGCTGCCCTCCTACAAACTATACATTAAAGGGCGTTGTTCAAGTTTCCTTCAAACCTGCTCAGTACATCCTCTTCTTCCTACCTGCACCCCTTGCACCCCCATGCAGATAGCTCCTGTTCCCTCCCTCCCTCCCAGCACATACTACACACCCAACCTTCTGATCTCAATTCCATTTAAACCAAGAGTAAAGTAAATTCCCTATTCTCAGGATGAGAATATTCTATTCCCTATTCTAGGATGAGAACCTATTAGTCTTCTATAACTCACCCATGCTGGAGTCACTCTGATGTACCTAAGCTGGTTCACATTTGTTTTTCTTCCTTTGATTTGGAAAGAATCCATATCAACCAATTTATCTAAAAATCAAACATATTTCTCAATACACTTTTATTATTCCAAATTCATGGGTTCAGACTTCAAAATAACTATTCCTGAAGTATAAGGCAAGTGAAGAGTGCTTTAACATATAAGAATCATTTTCCACTAGGTATTGAAGCAATTAAAAATGATATCAGGGGACATGTAGAAGACATGTAGAAAGTGGACAGCAGTTTAGGCTAAATGAACCCCAGGGGCCTTTCCAAAGTCCAGGCTTTGTCAGTCTAAATGGAGCAAACCATGTGATAATACAACTTGACCACCTCAAATTATCTATAGAAGATTCTTGAGCATACCATTCCAATAAAAATGATGATGACTATATTACTGAGTTGTATTACCAAAGGTAATTTAATAATACCAAAATTTGTTTTCCGCAGCTTACTAGCTGAAAGACAATGGAATGATTTGCTAACTACTTCTTCATATTTGAATATAAAATGCCTTTAAATGTCAATAAGAAAAAAACTCAAGGTCTACAGAATAATTTGCAAACATCACATAATATGGTAGTCATGTTTATGATTTCCTAAAGTAAAAAAAAAAGGCAAACTACAAAAAAATTTGGATTCTATTTAACTTATGAGATAAATATGTTCAGTGACAGCAGGACATTGACTAACAGGATCAAGTGGTTTCATTTAATGCTAGGAGAAATATTCATTATTTATAAATCAGATCACTTTTGATCCTTTAATTTGATATTTAGAAGTTCATTTATCTGTATTGAGCAATATGATGATTAAAGTTAAATGATTGCAATATTATTGAGGGGAAAAATCAGTGTTTGATATATGTGTTAATCATATATTATAAATATTTAATAAATGACTTTCTAATTGGGGGAAAAATAAATGGACAAACCTCCCATGTGTAAGCTTGATATGCTCAGTTTTAGGGTTAAAATGACATTTGCAAAAATAATGCAAGGTGATTATTACTGGATAGATCATTTATTTCACTGTAGTTTTAATTTCAACTTTTTTTTCTTTCAGGACGTGATTCTCATTCACCTGATTCAGGTACAGAAAAGATATTCTGAAAAACTATTGCTTTTGTTGTGTGAATGTTCAACATGTTCATAGTCACACTGTTGGCTTCAAGTTAAGCTTAAATTTCATATACTGTTATGCATATTAAAATTAATGTCTAGCAACTACACTTCAATTTTAGAATTAAACAATAAATTATGTGAAAAAGTGTAAGTGAACGTAGATATTTTTGTATCCAATTTGTTTTCCCTTAATAAAAGCTTGGAGAACTTACAATGATCGAAATCAAGAGACACTGAACGGAGATGCTACATATTCCTCTCTTGCAGCAAAAGGTTTTAGGAGCGTTCGACCAAACCTCCAAGAAAAAAAATCTCCAACTCAGGTAATCCTGCACACTCCTGTCTATTGTGCGATCTTAACGTGTGGTTATTAGACTATGATTTTAGAGCCTGTTTCCGGTGTGCAAATTTTGAAACATGTTTTTATTTGTAATGTGTGGCTTTTGCATTTGTATTACAACACAAAGGATAAGCTTCAAGTTCAAAACAGGTGTCTTTTTTTTTCCCCTGATTAAGCGCATAAAAATAGGTCAGTTTCCAACATGATGCTTAGGACATATTGTAACTCTTAAAAAGCTGACAGCTGGCCAATGCTTTGGATTTCAAAATTATGAGGTCAACAATACATTATATATTCAATAAATATGAGTTCTGCAACTGTACATTATGTTAACTAAAGAGATTCTGTGTTAGAGACATTAGTAAAATTGTGCCACAAGCATGAAAAAATGTTACAAAACAATGTAACCAAATGAGCCATATACTTATATTCTGCAAGATCTAAAAATATACAGAAAGAACATATGCTCACTTTGAGTATATCAAGAATGTAGATGGAGACAAACTTTATAATGTATACTCTAGAGAAACAGCTGCTCCCCTGAGGGCAACTTCTGATAATAAATTAAAATACATTCTAAATAGAAGGAAAATATTCCTTCGATGTAGCCAGCCAAATGCAGAGCAAATAAGAGGGTATGATATTGCTCTACCTTCTGTGAGGGCATGGTTGACCTGGTTTCTTTCATGACTAACTTTAACTTTCTCTGTTTTTCCTTCAACATTACTTCTTTCTCTGGCTGCAGTTGACAATCCAGGCACCCCCTCCCCCAGCCCAAAAAAACCACTTCTGTAGTGCCTCCATAATCAATGACACACAGGGTGACCTTTTAGAGCAATCAGTGACTAACACACTAATTCCCTCCTCTACTGAAGACCTTATTAACAGGAAACCTGTCCAGGCAGCCATGTATGCTAACGAAGACTCCAGCGAAACAATTGTCTATTCCGAGGAGTCTAACACAACCGTATCTTATACACAAAAAATCAGTCATCCGCCACCAGCAGCTTCTGACACAAATCCTGCACCATTTCTACTAGAGGACTACACGCAAGATTCTCAGACTCGGAGAATTTCTACCTTGAAACTAACCCATAACCAGAATCCAGGAAGTCCTTTCCCCTTCACCACCCCACCGTGCCCCAAACCTGTTGAAGTCCCATCATTTCTCAAAACACCTTGCTCACCGCCCCCTAACCCAGTGCCTGAGACACACACAGCATCTCTTTCCATTCACATAGCTCCGCTTTCAGGAAACAACCCTGAAAGCCACAGTCAGCGACCTGAGCTTCCTGCAGAGTCTGCAAAGATACCTGTTCGGCCCGAGAGACACAAGCCTGCACCTGCTGTGGCCGCTCAGTCCTCAGACTGCCACGTGGTACATTACGCTTCCCAGTGTCTTCTCACACGTGGCCCAGAGAGGCTAACTTGCTTGTTTTTGGGCTTCTTATAGAATGAAATGCTTTATTAGTTTCCAAGGAAGGGAAAGGAGAAAGAAACCACCTACTAAATTCATCAGTTTATTTTAAGTTATCTTTTAATCCAAATATGTATATTCCTTTATTTAGTTGATATAGATCAATGCACATTTTATACAGAAATCATGTTCTAAAAGTTTATTCTTTTTAGATTTTATTAGTAACCATTGGTAAGTCAGATATCACTTAAGGCCCTGTAAGCCACTTTAGTGCTTAAAATACTGCTAAGGTTCAAAGAAATATTTTTCTTGTAAAAACTTTTCATTCCTAGATTTTTTATTTATGTGTAAAAAAACCTATTAAATAACAGCCAATAATTCTTTCTGCCAGGTAACATTATCTTAATTTCAAGTATTATATGACACTTCGTAGCTCAACATTCATTTTCACAGAAACTTGATCAATTTATCATCTCACTGGGAACTCTAAGGATAAACTATAGATTTTAACCCAGTCTCCACCACTGACTTTGTGATGGGGCATCCAACTTTACTTCTCTTTGCATCTGAATTAAAAACTGAAATGAGAGCATTCATCTTTAATTCAGATGCTGCAGTAAGGACTGGTGAGCTATTAAAAGTAAATTACTTGGGACACAGCAAGCATTCAATAAATGATAGCCATTAATAAAAGATAAAATACTGGTAGCAACAGCAATACTGGTAGTATGAAAAATGCTAGTGCCTAAATAAATAATTTGTATACTATCATATCCTCTAGCTGAGTTCTTACTAAAGACCACCTTGAAGAGATGTCTTTTTAAACTGTAGAAAATCTTTAACAGATATCTGATTAACACGAAGATCTCCACCCCCATTCATGAAGTAGAAACCTTAAATAAGGATAATTACAAAAGCAAGCAGGTGTTTTCATATCTCTACTAAAGTATTTTCTTTATCAGCAAATCATAATATGCAAAATTCACTCAGCAGAGCATTTTTCTTCATGTAAGGTGATATCTTCTGAGAACCTCTATAAATAACAATAATGACAATAAAAGCAACTAACAAATTTTATGATTTTGCTATATACAGGCACTTCCCACACTTATCTATATTATTAATTTTCACAATCCTATTATTGTCACTGTAATAATAAATAAGTTACTTCCCCCAGGGTCATCCAGCCATTAAGGAGCAAAGCCAGGACGGAAATGCAGGCAGTCTGGTGGACAGCTCATCCTCTGAACCACCGCGCCACCTCTCACTGTGAAATGGAGACATGGGGCCGTGGCATAATGGGGGATGTGCCAGACACACCTACGTGGGATTCAGGAGCCTGTACGTTCTGAGGAAGCACAGTCAAGAGCAGACTTACCTGTGCACCAGGATGTGCCTCTCTGGGAGGCAGTGATAGGAGGACTTAGAGGAACGTAGCCCAAGTGGCTTCATTTCTTCAAAATGACTTTATTTTGTTTCAAAGAATAACTTCGATAACAACCATCCTTTTCCATAGCTTTGTTACAATCCAGGCTGAGCAGATACCACTGGTTTAATTATACAATCCCCAGAGTATCAGTATGACCTGAAAGTTAAAATTTAAGACCATATCACTTTGAGTCATTTAGCAAATAATTATTTATTTATGTCAAGTCTGCCGTAAACCCAGAGTTGGATCTGAAACCATTTATACTTAAACTGCTGTAGGTGTATTTGGAAGGGGCAAACATTAATAAAAATTAAGTAAAATTCCATACATTAGAAGGAACTTACTCTATGGAAATTAGGTTCTGCCATGCTAAGCAGAGACTTAGGGAGCAGATGCCAAGTTCAAAAGTCAGATAGGTCATCTTTGAAGAGAAGAAGACCACTCCAGACAGAGGAAACACCTAGTGTTGAGGCTTTAATTAAGACTGATGCATTCTGGGGCTCTTTGAGGGACAACAAGGAACCCAGTGAGGAAGGAGAGAAAGTAAGCAAGGTATCGAGGAGCAGAGGGGATGCTGGAGGTAACAGAGGCCGGATGGCAGAAGTCCTTGTAAGCCCTTACAAAAATTTTGGCTTTCACTCTCAAGAAAAATGGGAGTCATTGGAGAATGTTGAGGCTACCACTATTCCAAGTGAATTATGCTGGCGTCTAAGAACAGATTACTGTGGGACAGAGATTAGAGCAGCACACCAGTTAGGAAACTCTGGAATAATTTTGGTGAGAAATGATGATGCTTCAAATCAGGGTGGAAGTAATGGAGGCGGTGAGAAATCAGATGGTGTGAATATATCTCGAAAGGACACCAAGTAGGACTTGCTGGCAGATTGCATGTGGGATGTGGGGGAAGGAGAAGAGTCAAGGTTGACGCCAGCTGGGAAGATGGAATTGCCATCAGCAGAGACTGGACAGCCATGGGTGGAGCAGTTTGGGGACACGAGAAGTTTGAGATGCCCATGTGGAGAGGTCAAGTATGCAGTAGGATATGGAAGTCTGGATTCAGGGGAAAGGTCCAAGATGGAGAGAAAAGCATCGTCTTCTAGATGGTTTCTGTAGTCAAGAAACTGAGTGAGGTCACCGAGGAGGGAGTATAGAGAAATCCGAGGACACCCCCAAGAGCTGAGCCCAAGCAAATCATGGCATTTAGAGGAAGACCCAGCAAAGAAACCTGGAATCAGTACTCTCTAAGGGAGGAGGAAATCCAGGAAATATGACATCCCTACAGCCAGCTACGGAAAATGTATGGCAGAAAGAGGATTGCTAACCGTGCCAATGCTGCAGAGAGCGTAAGTGTAAGAAGAGATCTGAAAGTTTACCACTGACTTAGAAGTGGGAAGGGGGACTTTCTTGGAGTATGTTGAAGACTGAGAGACCTGCACTTGGCAATCAGCATTTTCAAGGTGTGGTTAGCATAAGATGATGAAGGTATTCTCCCTGAGTCTCAGTTCTTTCATCTTTTTTTGTAAAATGGGGATAATAATAGCATTCATCTCTTAAAGTTGCTGTGGGCCTGAGTAAGATAATGCATAGAAGTTTAACATATGCCTGCTACACAGTAATTCCTCAACATGTAACAGCTGTTATTAAATGTTCAATTTTTATCATGTTTCCAAATTATACATCTAGTAGGGAAACTGAAATATATATTATTTTAAATAATACTACATCTTTTTTCCACTGGTGGATAAAAGATTATTTCATCAGACTTGCAGTTTGTTTCAAGAGAGACAGTATATTATCATTAACAGTGCTTTGTGGAAAAGTAGCATAAAGCTATTGTCACTTTATTTGTCTTTAAAGCAAAATTTTAAGAGCAAAAATTTAAGAGCATTTTTAACATGAGACCTACCTTCTTAACAAAACTTTGATGTTAACTGTAGGCATGCTACTATACAAAAGATCTGTAGAAAACATTCATCTTGCTTAATGGAACTATATACTCATTAAATAACAAGTCCATGTTGCCCCCCTCCCCACTCAAACCCAGGCAACCACCATGTTCTCTGCTTCTATGACTTTGACTGTTTTAGAGACCTTGTATAAGTAGACTCATGCAACATTCGTGCTTCAGTGACTGGCTTTTTCCCTTAGCATGATGTCTCCAGGTTTACCCATGGTGTAGCAGCTGGTAGAATTTCTTTCTTTTTTAAGCCTGAGTAATATTCCTTTGTTGTATGCAATGCATTTTTAAATCTGTTCTTCCATTGATGAAATGTACTTTGTTTCATACCTTCACTATTGTGATACACTTCATTTTTCAGTCTCAATTTCCAGATAATGGCCCCTCATAATGGTGACCTTTCTGTTTTAAATACTCATTTTCCACATTATGGCAATGCTGTAAGCTATACAGCATGAACCAGCCAAATATGAGGCATTATTAAGAATTAGTCTTCCAAGAAATTAGCAGACCCAAGAGACAAAAGCACTCTGCACTAAAAACTGTAAAGTCAATTTTGCTGGGGTTTTTTGAAAAGATTTTATTTATTTTATTTATTTGAAAGTCAGAGTTAGAGTTAGAGTTAGAGAGAGAGAAAGAGAGAGAGAGAGAGAGAGAGGTCTTCCATCCAATGGTTCACTCCCCAATTGGCCACAACAAGATCCAAAGCCAGGAGCCAGGAGCTTCTTCTGGGTCTCCCACATGGGTGCAGGGGCCCAAGTCCTTGGGCCATCTTCTACCGCTTTCCCAGGCCATAGCAGAGAGCTGGATCAGAAATGGAGCAGCCGGGACTCAAACCAGCACCCATATATGATGCTGGCACTTCAGGCCAAGGTGTTAACCTGCTGCGCCACAACGCCAGCCCCTGATTTTGCTGTTTTTAAAGTTTCATTTACATGTTTGATTTTGTTATTAAAAATCTGACCTTTATTTTAAAAAGAAGCCTAAAGGCTACTGGCAAGAATTCTCTCCATATTGGACAATTTAAAAAAAATTTATAGGCCATATATGCTTTAATTTACCTCCTGAAAATTTGTATATAGAGATACCATGAAATGAGATATGCTATCTTTCTGTTACAATGCAAATATTGCTAAAAATGTCACATTCTCAAGTGTCAGATAATGAAGGTATAAGTCAGATGCTTTGAAAAGCCACTGAAGTGCTACATTCTGCTTTTCTACAACATTTCTAAGTCCTGTGCCCTTTGCTTCAAGAAGATAAACTTGGTCCTTCTATAATGAAACAACAAAATTAACCATTTGCTGAAACCTCACTTTCACAGCTGCTATTGCCTTGGGAATTCAGGGAGTATGATTGTTTTGTAGAAAAAGAGGAAACTGATTTCTTTTGCTGCATAGAATCAATATGTAGATGGTAAGAGAGACAGAGTCATGAATAAGCCTAAGCAGGAGAGGGTGACAAAAGGTGCAGAGCTGCAGAGTGCACTCGTACTTTCTGGACCATTCCTGGCAATACCAGTCCCGATCACGGATGTGTTCTAGTGTGGCCAACCAATGTCCCATAACTTCTTTT